TTTCCCAGTCCTTTTGCCAAGAACGGGCCCCACGACACAACATGCCCAGAGTGGCGAGATGGAGTGTCACCGTCCGTGCCTCCAAGGAGCAGCCTGGCTCAACTCCATCCAAGACAGTACGCCCTCCTCTAGGATGTTATTGGAAGCAGAAGCGGCATCCACTTCCACAATAGCTTGCCTCGGGAAACCCTATGAACCTGGAGAGAGGACGAAAGTTATACAGGAAGTGTCCAGGACTTCGTTCATAGGGTCGCTCTGAGTCGCCTGCGACTCGATGGCACTTAACAACACTACCACCACCAATAGCATAGAGAAAGAGACAGCGAGCAGTCGGCCTAGTGGTCAGAAAGTCATGCTCCCAAGGCAAAGGTGGGTGGCTCTAGTCTGTGGCCCTCAGGCCTGCCTTTAATTGGTTTTGGTGAAACATTCTTCTAGGTCGTATAACCCTGGTATTGTCCACTTGCTGTACAGACGTAACTCGGGTTGCCATGAAGCCAAATACTGTTACCCCTGGTGGACAGTGTTTGGTGGAGCTCCCCAATTAAAACAAGCTTGGAAGCAAGAGTGGAATCCACTTCCATAATAGCTTGCCTCCGGAAACCCTATGAACCTGGAGAGAGGATGAAAGTTATACAGGAGGTGTCCAGGACTTTGTTCATAGGGTCGCTATGTGTCCCCTGCAACTCAACGGCACTTAACAACAACAACAACAACTATTATGTTAGAGCGTTTTCATGGCTGTGTCTTTATGAAATCCAATCTCCAGGCCTTGCCTTCTCCTAATACCCAGTCGCCCAGGTAATATTTGTTATTAGTGATTTGAAACCGTTTAAGCCAGCTAGTGTTATTCATTGGAAGCAGGAGTGGCATCCACTTCCTAAACCACATGCCTCCCGAAACTCTATGAGCTTTGTCGATAGTTGTAGAGGGGCTTCAGGCCTTTTGTTCACAGGGTCGCTATGAGTTGTGCACGACTAGAAGCCAATCAACAACAGTGTTCGTCATACTGATAGCATAGGCAACCTTTTTACAGCTTTATTAGTAAATTACTTTCAAAATCTTTTATTTATACTGTATTTCCCATACTACCAGTGGTTTTGCCATGAGAATACAGACAGAATGTGCAAACACAGTTCATTGCTAATCAGAAAATTTTATCAATGAGTAAAACACACTTGAAGACTAGCCAATGACACATGTATTTACTGGGTTGCCACTTTTCCAGTCTATAAAGGAAGGATGTGTATGAACACAATGGCTCTAAGAATGTCATTTTTTTTTCTTTTTCACAATGTCATTTAAAACCTCTCAACATCAAGAGAAAAAAAAAACAAACCCCAAACCCTCTTCACAATTGGGCCAATAGCCAATATCATGATAGATGGAGAAATCAAAGCAAATCGTCAATGATTCTGTCGTACTTGGATTCACAATCAGCACCCTTGGCACTAGCAGTCAAGAAATCAAAAGACATATTACAAGTCTGCTGGCAGGGACCTCTTCAGAGTACTGAGGATCAATAATGTCAATTTGAAAACAAAGCTGAGACTGATCGTAGCTACGGTCTTTTCAGCATCTGTGAGCTGGACAATGGGTAAGAATGACAGGGGGGAAATCGATGCCTTTGCCTAGGGGTGTTGGAGAAGAGTACCAAGCATCCCATGGTTTGCCGAAGAACAAACAGATACGTCTTGGAGAAGGTGCGGCCAGTGTTCCTTCGAGGCAAGCATGGCAAAGCTGTGGTCATATTGAAAGACATGGGCATTCCTTGGAAAAGGCTATCGGGCAAGGAAAGGTGGAAATTCACTGTAAGAGAAGCAGACCCCAGTCCAGGTGGACAGACACAGAGACCGCAGCAACGGGCTCAGGTGTGTCAGAGCTGAGGGGGACGGTGCAGAGAGGACAGGGTTCAGATCTGTTGGTCACAGAGTCTCTGTGGATCGTACTAGATCATTTATACTGATTACAGTCTTCTTGCCATTCCACCGTACAAAAAGCAAAGGCCACGTGAGAATGGCCACATCTGACTTCACAAAGGGGAATGGTCCCTGTCACAGCATCAGGAACACAAAACCAATTCCCATGAGGTCACTTGTGTCCCCCTTGCTCCTGTACCTCTTTCTACTCATCTAAACACCAGTATTATAGCTTTCTGGGTCCTAAATCTGATGGGATAGCTCACAGACCACACAGAACCATGTTGGGGGAGACAAAAAGTTCTAATCCAGAACAGTATCAGACTACAGTCAAAATAGCTTCTGAAATGTGCTCACAGGCACCTCAGCCTTGAGCCTCATGGCGTCAGGCCAGTGTTACAAAGTTCTCAGTCCTACAAATTGTAGTCCCTCATCCTCATCTGTCCAACACACTTGGGCAAAGTCTCTTAGCTCTGGTTCTCATGGTGTAGCATTCCCAAGGTCCCATTTCTCACCAGGTCTCTGGTTCGTCTGTGGCTGCTGCGCCCATAGGTGCAGATGGAGCGAGAATTTCTGGTCCTTAAGAGAGTCCTACGTTCTCATGCTGCTTCATCACTGGCGGGAAGGTCTCTTCCCCTGATGCTGGATTTCTCAATTTACTGGCAGCATCAGTCAATTCTCTTGTAGAGAGGCTAACACATCTCATTCTCATTCGCCTGCCCAAAGCCAAAAGATGGCTGGGAAAGTCATAGTTAAAAATAAACTCCACTGCCGCTTTCATCTTTAACCTTTCCAACATATTCCACCACTATTAACATAAACTCGTGGTTGTTGTGTGTCATTGGGTCAGAACCAACTCCTAGCTGACCCTCCAGTGGGTTTTCAGAGGCAGTAAAAGGCATGAGAGGAGACTGCCGGTGTTTACCCCACGAATCAGCTGGTGGATTCGAACGACATCCCTCTGGGGACAACAGTTCAGCTGCTTACAAGACATCCACAGCTTCCTTAACGTAAACTTAGCACCATCAAAAGAACATGTATATTTACTTTTTCTTTTCCCAACCCTCACTCATAAATAATCTTTGCTCTCTATATGTCTGCTTATGTCAAAGTAATGTCACACCATCTTCTTTGACATCTGTAAAGTTCTTTTCTTAGAAATCTTACTCAGTCATTGTTGCACATTTTCATCCCTCCAAGCGCCTCCCCTCGTCCACTTTGCAGTGCATCTTTGTCATTGTATTTCACTTATGTACATTTTTTTCTGCTCCTTCTCTCCACCCACAAAACTCTTCGACCCTGTGATTTCCTGCTCCCCACCTTCAGCCCCTGCTGCCCCCCCCTTCACTCTTTGTATATCCATGAACATTGCACTGGTTCTCCTTCTGTTTTTGCAACAATGACCTTACAGAGAATTTGTTTTTATGCGTTTGAGTAACTCAGCATAATGCTCTCTAGTTTCTCCCGTGTTTATAGTATTTTTCAAAATCGTTGTGCCTAACTACCGCAGAGTGTCCCAGAGTGTGAGTGAATGTGCCGTAGATCCTCAATCCACTTGTTTGTGAAGGGACATTTGGGTGCTTCCGTGTTCTCACGGCTGTGAATAATGCTGCTGGAAACATCGGGGTACACATCTCCATTTGAGTCTCAGTTCTCTTTTCCTTGGAGTATGTGTATTCCTAGCAGAGGCGTAGCTGGGTCATATGCAATCTCTGTGTCCAGCTTTTTGAGGGCATGCCCCACTGACTTCCAGGGTGGCGGCCCCATTGTACAATCCCATTAACAGTGTGTATGGTAGTTCCAAACTCTCCACTCTCTCCAGCGTCCATTGCTTGCTGTCCTGTTAAACTTCGCCACTACCACTGGGGTGAGATGGTATCTCACTGGGTTTTTATCAGTATCTCTCTTCCTGCCAGGGATTTTGAGCATTTCTTCATGTGTCTGCTGGCCATCCGAGTGTCTTCCTCTGTGAAGACCTGTTTTTGCTCATTTTGTCATTGGGTTACCATACTATTTCTGTTGGAGGCCCTGTGGGATTCTATAATGAGATCCTAGTCTGCGACGTCATGCAGTGTACCTCTTGTTCCAGATTGTTGGCATATGTCTAACACCTAATCGTATATTCCTGCTGGAGTGTATGTCCTGCATTTCCTCCAAAGGCACTGATTGTTGGCTTCTCGTGTCCAGCTTACTGGTTCTCAATAAAGCGTGCTAGCTCTTAACACATCCCACACGCTCTACTGCTGCTGAGTTACAACCAACTCATTGCGGATCCTCCAGCAAGAGTTCAGAGGCATAAACGACACGGGGAGAGTGGCTCACCTTTCTCCCAGGGAGCAGCGTGTGGATTTGAACCACCTGCTGTTGGCCTGGCAGCACGATTCCTTTGCAACTCCCAGAGCCCCCTGATTTACAAATAAAATACTAAAATGCTCAAAGATACCCCACACTCTAGAGCAGTGTGTCTATTTGAGCTTTCCTTCTGGGCTGTCTCTCCAAAAAAGACTTTATGAAGAGGAACGTGGCATCAGGATCAGAGGAGGCCTCCTCTTGTGTTACGCAGATGTCAGAGTGTTGCTCGCTGAAAGTGAGAAGGGATTGAAGTGCTTGTGCAGCAGAGGCTACAGCCTTCGAGATGAATTCCATCTCAATGTCAAGAAAACATCGGAGGCAGGGGTGGCATCCACTTCCTAAACCACACGCCTCTGGAAACTCTGTGAACTTTGATAAATGACGATAGTTGTAGAGGAGCTTCAGGCCTTTTGTTCATAGGGTCGCTATGAGTCATGCTAGACTTGATGGGCATCTATAACAACAACATCAAAACAAAAATACTCACCACCAAGCCAATAAGGAAGATCATGCTAGACAGAGGAAAGATTGACGTTCTGAACGAGTCCATGTTACGTGGATGTACAATCAACACCCTTGGTACCAGCAGTCAAGAAATCAAAAGTTGTGTCACATTGGGAAAATCCACTCACAAAGACCCAGATGCTGAAGACTTGGCTTTCCTGATGAGCTCAGTGCTCAGACCAGCGGGCCAAGTTTTGCACGCTCGTGGACTGATTGATTTCCAGCTACCTGCACCGCCTGGCGGGTCCGGCAACACGGCTCATCCCAGTGGAAGTAGCGGCAATAGATGTCTGGTTTGTAGTTCAGGAAGAGCAGGAAGGCTGCACCAGGGAAGTCATCCTCGCTGATGAAGGCACCACGACCACAAAGCACTTGTAGTTGGCACGTTTTGGACCCAGCCCCAGCGGCACCATCCCAGGCAGCAGTGCGTTTCGCCAGAGCTTCTCCGTGATATAAACCAGGTATTGGAGTTCTCAAGGGCCAAGCAGAACTTGTGGTGAGCCACGGTGCGCAGGAACCTGGGGCCGCCCTTGCAGAACACATCGATGGGCACTTGCTGGCCCAGCTGGTGGTGCACGCGCGGGCCTGGCACTCATCCCAGCGGCTCACCACCCAGGCCAGCGGCCCCACGCCAGGAGGCTGGTCGCTGGGGTGGCACTGGGTGGTAGAGAGGACTGTTAAGGCACAAAGACGTTGAGTTGTCCCCTCACCCTGCTTCCTCCTCATTGCCCAGTGCTTGCAACTCCAGCTCCTCCACCATACACCTGTGGGGGTTCCAGGGTGGGCGGCCAGTTGAGGGACCCCTTCACCAGGTCATGGTAGTGGAACAGCACAGCCTGTGACTCCCTGTAGGCCAAGTGGTGGGTGAGCAGGCGGCAGTCAGGGGTGGGGGAGTGACTTCGGGGCACTCCGACACCCCCCAAAAGGCTCCCACCACAGCAGCACACCCACCGGCCATGGTGATGCCCGAGACACCCCAGGGCAACGGTGGCAGCTGCCCTCAGCAGGCAGACCAGGAGACCAGGTGCTTCCCAAACTGGGGAGGCCCTTCTATTGGGGAGGCCTTTCTCTGGATGGAAGTTAAGTGATACTTGGGGCATATTGCATGTTGGCTTCTTCTGGCCACAGTTGCACTCTCATGCGGCCTCTCCCACCTCCCAGACTCAAAATTTGCAGCCACAGGATGAACAAACAGTCCTGGGTTCACATTGACAACCCATGTCCGTGGACGTTGAATTTCTTCACCAAGTCTCCTCCCTGTCATGCAAGCGACAGTTGGTTTTTTCAGTGTCTTCTCTCACCTGACTGAAGCATTGACTTAAAAATTCATGAGCCTAATTCTCCACGTTGCCAGAGAATATCTCAGCAGATGCGGAAACGGAGTTCTTGATAGTCACAAGTAACTCTGCTTTGATCTCTGCGTGCCAAAGACCATTCAAAACAAGCAAGGGGCTCAAACAAGTCATTAGCAAAGGCTGGAGTAAATTAGCCAATAGGGACTGTAAAAATGCATTCACAGACAGGTGTCCCAAGGCGGGAGGCCCTTCCAGAGTGTCTGTGAGTGAAAGGTTAAGTGGTACTTGGGACATAGTGCATGTTGGCTTCTTCTGGACATGGTTTCGTTCCAGGGGAAATGTTAAATTGCTCCCGGCAGAGAGATGCTTGGTTGAGTGAACATTCTCATCTAAGTTAGGGCTTCTTTTTGAGCTGAGCTTAAAGGAATGTCTAAGTTTTAACTTAATTTACTTTTCTAGATTTTTTAAAATGCAATAGTTTCTTCCTAAGGCTGCTGATATATTTGAAGAAGTCCTGAGGTTCTTTTTCAGGGCAAGGTCAAGGAGAGGAGAAGATGCACTCCTCACAGGTCTCTGTCAGACGGCAGCACTGTTTCCCTTTGCCGGGGTTCTAACTCGTGACCTCCTCCTCTCAATGTTTGATACAGTGACAAGGGCATTTCCTGAAGGACAAATCTTCCATTTCCATTTCTTCAGCCAAGGAATCCGTGACCTGGTTTGTCACGAGCTCTTTGAAGGGGCACTTTTTTGGCCTTTCTTCTTTGGTTTTCTGTTGCTGACAACACTGTCGTGATGGTCCGGGTCAGCAGGAGGGGGAGATGGCCCGTGGTGGGCTCTGTCCAGAAACGTCTTCAACCTCTCAGCATCCTGGTAGCAAACGTTGTCAATGAACAAGTAGCAGCTGTTTTTGAAAATTAAACAGAAACTGCTGTGTTGTTCTGTGGCACGCGTGACGTTAACACTTGTGATGTTATTATTTAGATGGAAAGCCATAGCTGATTTTGCAGAATTTGCGGGAACCACCAGCACACTTCCATTCTCTCCTTCTAGCATCTCAATCACTATGTCTTTTAGGTTGTGCCACCCGCTCAGATGGCTGTACGTCTGGACGGAACCACGGATCTTCTGAGAGACCATCCTTTCTGGACACTTTGAAGACAAGCAACCTAAAGAAAAGGCACAGATCCATCAGCCACAGTCCATATACCACTGACGATTTATGGGGGAAACCTCGTGTAAAAGCAGCCTCTGGAGATGTGGTGATCAAGAGTGGAGCACGGCTGCAGTTTGGCAGACACTCTGCCTCTTCGTGCAATAATTTAAAAATCTTATCCCAATCGCCCTCTTTTAGGCTGGTACCTTAGACGATAAATCAGTGCAATGTATATTGGATATAAAGTCTATCTGT